TGACCCACTCCAGAATAATTAAATTATGATGGAGAGGAGCGTTATTGCAATACTTGCCTTTAATTTCTATGAAAACCTCATTAATTTTTTGACTACTGGGCATTTACATATGATGTTCTTTGCATTTGGAATGTTGGTTTCCCTCTTCAGCCTTTTCACGTAGAGATATTCTTCCCATTTTTCCTTCAGGTTTCAGGTGAGACCTCAGGAAAACTCCTGCCACCTCGGAAGCACTGCCCGAGAAGTTTCTGTGATAATGGGAAATGTTCTGAATCATCTGCACTGATCCATGTACTAGCCATTAGCTATGCAGTACTTAAACTGTGACTGATGTGACTGAGACATTGAATTTTGAATTGTATTTAATTTTGGCTATAGATGTTTGGTACCTTAACTTGTGTCCTCACAGCACCCTGTGTGTGTTTCCCCCATCATAACACTGATTTTATTGTATATTTTCCCAACATTTTATTACTAAACATTTTGCAAGCTGAAAGAATTTTCTAGTATATACTCCTGTATTCATCACCTAGATTCTACCATTAATATAATTACTATAATAGACTTTAACACATATCCATCTGGGTATTTCTCTATCCATCCATTATTCTTTCTAAAAAACTACATTTAAAAATGACATCAGTACACATGTCCCTAATTACTTTAACATACATATCATAAATAGCTGTTTTGGGTGTAAAATTTATATACATAATAAAATGTCTTTTTTTTTCTTTTTAGTTAATCCTCACCCAAGGATCTTTTTTTCCATTGATTTTTAGAGAGAGTGGAAGGGAGGCAGGGAAGGGGAGAGACTCAGAGAGGGACAGAGAGAGAGAGAGAGAGAGAGAGAGTAAGAGAAACATCAGTGTAAGAGAGGCACATTGATTCCCAGTCAAGGGCACATACCTGGGTTGCCTCCCTACAATCCAGGTATGTGCCCTTGACTGGGAATCGAATTCATGACCCTTCGGTGTGCGGGCTGATGCACTAACCTCTCAGCAACACTGGCTAGGGCAATGTCCATATTTTAAGTTGCATTTGCTGAATTTTGATAACTACATATACCTGTGTAACACAAACCTCTATCAAGATGAGAACATTATCGAACCCCCAGAAAGTTTTCTTCTGCCCCTTCCCAGTCTATCCTTTCTTCCACTTTCCCAAGTGGTTACTGCTCCCCCCCCCCCCCCCCACAATGTCCCTTTAGCATCATAGCTTTCATCCTGTTCATTGTAAAAGAGAGATACTTTGGCTACTGAGTTTTCATATGCACCCTTCTACACACATTTCAACTCCACTACAATAAAACGACTGTATTTCCTACCTAGCAAGATACAACTATTCTTATAAGTGAAGAAATTCCCACCTGTACCCCAATTGAAAAGACACAGTTCTAAGTCATTGTTTCCATTACTGGCTATATAAACTATTATTTTATTACTATCCCACTTAGCATTCAGTTACATAAGACTAAATTGTAAAGTTAATTTCAACAATTGTATATAAAGTAAAAATGCAAACTAGAGAAAATATGGTCAATGCAGTTGATTCTGTATAGTTATTGTGGTAGTTAGGTTCTGTGAAGTCATTACTACACTGAATAGTATTCTGTAAGCCTCAGGTCACTACATTTTTGTCAACAGATCAAAACATAACCTTGTTTTATGTGTGTTTTTGTTTTAAAATAGTTAATATATATCGTTGATTTATCAACATTGAATTCACGGCCAACAGCATTATCATTCATGTCTGAATGAAGCTTTTCTAGCACATATTTTCTATGGAAGAGAACATGACAACTTCTTTCACTTAGAAACACTAGACAGCACTATACTTGGGGGCCATTTTAGCAGTGAACAAAAAGTACAAAAATGTGAAAACCACTATCCTAAATATGACATAGAAAGGTCAGTTATTTATAATTCAGAACTGAAAGAAGGCAATGTATCGCCTTGCTTGACTTGGGAATTTGTACTACAAGTGACTCAAGTTTTTCATCATTCTGCACATGCACATGTCCGTGAATGACTGCCAAGGTGCCCCAAGTATTAATTTTGGGGTTATAATTGAATTTTAGGGGGTTACAAATGAATGTTATTATTGGGCACATTCACAAATACAGAATCTGTGAATTGTGAGGATTGACTGTATTTGCAAATACATACGTGTACAACAAGCAAAGAGGAAATATACAAAACTACTGCAGTCTTTGTGTCTGGTAATGAAGTTGTTGATATGTATAGCTTTCTTTCTCACTGCTGTTCCATACTTCTGCTCTCAGCTACTCTGGCTTCTTTACTTGATGGTGTGACCATCAGGAAAACTTTTATCTTGAAAGATCATAGTGCTTAGTTGTTCTGTTTTCTGTAGTTTTCTTTAACCTTTGGTATTAGAAGTACTTAAGACCCTAGAGAATCCTCTGGGTAACCATCACTGTGTAGTGGCAAGAAAGGTCTTTAGTAATTGACATTTAAAAAAAAATTTTTTTTTTCTTGCCTGTTGGTTTTAGTGCCATAATGGGTACAAAATGGCAAGGTGTATTCTAATTTTCCAATCATTGGAACCATTGTATATCCTCTTGTGGAAGCATTTACCCTTTGGGGAATAAGAACTCCAAAGCATCAGAGCTCATGTTGCCAGGACTGGAAGCAAACATTTTACAAGTGGATTATTAGGAGTAATAATAAAAGGAGCCACTCCCATTTCTGCTTCTTGATTCCTGTATTATGGCTGTAGGGGAGATAGCACCATCTGATGGTCTGTCACTGAAAGTGTAACCTGTAGCCTTCAACATAGTTTTTTTTACGTTTCTCTCTCCCAACTAGTGTTGCCATTCCTCTTTCAAAAGGGCATGCTGCTTCTGGATGAAGGAGTATGTTGTAAGACCAATTCTATGGGTGGGGAGATAGCACCATCTGATGGTCTGTCACTGAAAGTATAACCTGTAGCCTTCAACATAGTTTTTTAGGTTTCTCTCTCCCAACTAGTGCTGCCATTCCTCTTTCAAAAGGGCATGCTGCTTCTGGGTGAAGGAGTATGTTGTAAGACCAATTCTATGGGCATGAGCAAATTGCTGCACTTTCTTTGCTGGGAAATGAGTAAATGTGTTTATTGATTAGATACAAAGCTATATGGAATGCCATGATGATGAGTCTATCAATGGTGGTGCTGGCAGAAGTGTTACAGGAAAATCCATATGCTGAATATGTGAAGGTGATCCATATGGAAGAGAGCCAGTATAATCAATCTGCTACCAGGTGGCTAGCTTGTCCCCCCACCTTCACCCCTATGGTGCTGTATTGGGAACTCAAGTTTGTTCTCTAGTGTTGTCAGATTAGGTACTCAGTCAGCCAGATTAGCTTTGGTAAAGAGTAGCTGTTTTTTTTTTTTTGAGCCCATTCATATCCTCTATCCCTGCTGCTATGGCCACTTTGTTCATGGGTCTGTTGCATAGGCACCAGTATCATGGGGAAGGAAGTTGACTGATATCCACAAAGAAAATAATTTTATACCTGATTGTTAAGATTCTCCTCTGTAGTTGATGCATTTATAGTTGTGCTCACCTCGTGTGTGGTGGTGAAGTGGTGCTACTTAAGCTTCAGCTACTCCAGGATCCCATCATCCCCATTGAAATCAGAAAGTCAATCTCAATGGTGGCATCCCCTATACTCATACCTGTGCTACAAAAGAGAGTGACCACAGAGCTTTGAAAAGGTTGCAGGTGGTATACTAATATATTTCTGAACACATTAGTAAATGGAGTGTCTGCTGGGCCCTGTTTGGAACATAAGTGGGAGGTTGGTGTGTAAATGATAAATCCAGTCTAATTTTCCTATCTCATAAAGGTTTAGAATCCCTCCTTATTGTGCTAGGAAACTCTCTGGAATCTTAGTTTTATTAAAACATAGGTCATTGTTGGGTCCAATTTGAGTCAGCCAACCAAGTAAGTTTTAGAGCTACCTTCATCTGTGTGAGCTAATACAATTAAGTCTGGGATTTGCAGTATAGGAGTCAGCAAATCTTTTCTGTAAAGGGTTAGATAGTAAATATTCTGGTTTTTATGGGCCGTATGGTTTTTGTCAAAATTCCTCAACTTTGCCATTATAGCATGAAAGTCATAGAAAATGTGGGATGAAAGGGCATGGCTGTGTTCCAGTAAAATTTTATTTACAGTAACAGTTTGCTGACCTCTGCTATAGTATGTGGGCACATATCAGTGAATTAGACCAGATATCGTGTTATATTTCACCCTGCTTGGTCTAACACCTTTAGAATCCACTTCCACACATGTTCCAAGGGTTTCTGTTAGTTTATCATGAAAGTCTTACAGTTCTTTTGCTGTATAATCTATTTCCTTTGGTCATAGTGTATACCTGGTTTAGTGACATTGGGAGTGGTTAGGGTAGGCTTTAATGAAAATGGACATCCCCTTTCATGGTATTTGTCCTAGGTGAGGTTATGCTAGGAATTTTAAGCCGTGGAAGTCTAGTCTTCTCTGATATGGGAGGGCAAGCTACTTCTGGTAAGGGAGGCTCAGAAGGGGCTTAAGTTGGTTAGTTTCATCTGGGTCAAACTAAATGTCTTCATTCTAAGTTTTAGAATTCCATTGTTTACTAATGCATGCCCTAAATTTCAGAGGAGAAACTGGGTGATACTGTGAATTCAACTATTGTTTTAATTTAACAATCCTCAAAAGTAAACGTTTTTATTTTCAGCTGAGTTAGCTGTGTGGCTTCAAAAATTAAGAGATTGTTTTAGAGTTTCTATGGCGCTCTTAGAGAATTGAGCTGAGAGTTAGACTTGAGCTTGTTTTTTTTTCCCCCCCTAAGTGATCTAGTGTACTCAGAAGAATCTCCCCCACATCACAATTCTTTATGGTCTAGAGCAGCAGCCATTTGGGTTTCCAAGGCATGTGCCTCAGTTGGCACTTGCTCACTGCAAACTACAGTGATATCTTGGTTAATTTTTATTCCAAGACCTGCAATGTATTGCTAATAATGTTTCTCATTGTCGAGGAGCTCAGGACTGCACTTACGAGTAAGCTCAGAGCATGACCAAACCAATTGTCAAATTCCATCTTTGTGAGTCTGTCTCCTGGGACCACTCCCATTACTTATTACCAGTATAAGTTTGTGTTGTCTCAGGAGACAGAAACCACATAGTAATTTAAAAGGGGAAGTTTAATATAAGGAAATGCTAAGTTGTGAAAGGAGAGTAACTATAAACATGTAAGGGGAACTCTAAAGGATATTCTTACAATTGGCTGGGATTCAGACCTCATCGAAGAAAGTATAGCTGCAACCTGAGTTTGCTGGTAGAAAAGTTTGCTGAGTTGCTGGGGCAAGAGCTGGTCCACAGTATCTGGGCAAGCAGGAAACAACCCTCTCAAGTATACTAGTAGGTGAGCCCAGGTTGGTTAGCTGTATGCAGGGGGAGTCAGGGTGCTGTTGTGGGTATGAAGCCTCGAGTGCATGGTGTCCTTGTAGGGAGGTGGTGTCTGGCCAAGGCTGCCAGATTGCTGAGGGACTGGATCCCTGGGCATATAGCCATATGACAGTGTACCACTGGATGTCCTTCCCATGCGTACCATGAAGCAGGAGCCAGAAAAAAAGTAAAGGCAGTATGGGGAACCAGAAGTGTCCTTCTTGCAGTGCCCCTTCAGTGCCATTTTATAACAAAGTGTAACATTGTGCTGTATAAAGAAATGCTTAAAAAATCAATTTTTTTACAGCCAAGTACTAAAAGATGAATTCAAAGCAGAGAGGCAGCACATTAATAATTGGCTTGGCCAGGCAGATCATATTATTCTACTCACAATTCCTCAGTAGCTCCCTGTTTTACCCAGAGTGAAACCGAAGCCAGACATAGACCCTCTACTTTGACTTCATGTTATACTCTGTTCTCCCCTGTTGGCTCTGTGGTAGCCATTCTGGCCTTCCTGCTGTTTCTGGCACATGACCTGGTTCTTCTTGAAAAGCTCTTTTCCTAGATACTTGCATGTTGACTTCCTCACTTCCTTCAATTAAATGTTTGCTCAAATGTCAGCTTCTCAATGAAGCACACCATTCACCACCTTACTTAAAACTGGAAGCCCAGCACGGCTGACCCCCATCACACAGTTCTGCTTTTTCCATAGTACTTTTCCCTAACGTGCTATGTAATTTACCTATTTCTTATGTCTGTTTCCTCCTTTAATGCCAGGCACTGTGAGTGGCGTAGGTTTTTGTTTGCTTTGCACTTATCCCAAATACTTAGAATAGTGCCTGGTACATTGTAGGTGCTCAGCAAGTACTTGAATTTTATAGTGGTCTTGATAATATTCATTAAAGTGAGAGTCTAGTTTAACAAAGCAGTTCTAATTTTGTTGTTCAACATAGTTTTACTACTACTGTGTTGTATAGTTTCCCTTATATTTTGTAGACTGGTTACATTCTTTTCATTGACTAGGTTAATAAGGTATATTTTTGGGTTGCTTATACTCTATAAAATGAAGCATGCTTGTGCCTTATTGTTACTTTCTCTAGGTCACTTTTCAGCTCCTTTTACTTTTCTCATCTGATAAATTTCTGAGACAGATAATTATAGCGTTAACATTTTATTCTTTAGAATTAAATCTTGGTCCATGGACAATTAACTTATTTTTTAATTTGTTTTTAGGTGCCGAATGTGGAGTGAATGCAGATGTTGAGAAACATCTTGAATTGGGGAAGAAATTGCTTGCTGCTGGACAGCTAGCTGATGCGTTATCACAGTTTCATGCTGCAGTAGGTTTGTATCTTGGAAGTAAAACACTCAGTGGCCATCTTAGTAAATTTTAATTAATAGCTGTTCTTTAGAATAACATTTAAATTAAACATTATTTAATGCTTAAATACAACATTTAAAAATATTTGCAGGATTCTCAGTGAAATAGATTAGTAAAATAAGTGCATAATACTTGAATGCATGTGTATTTAGCATGAGAGAACGTTCCAGGTAGTAAATTTATAGATTTGCTACTATAAATACCAAGAATAATTCAAGATAATTTTGACAGGAAACCTTTTTCAATGCATTACATAATTTTCTGCCTCTTAAAAGATTTTACTAAATACAGTTTAATTTTCTTGATGACTTGAGATAATCTAATAGTTACTTTTCTGGTAACTATTAGAACTGACTTAAGTGCTGCAGCATGGTAATTAAAAAATATTCAGTTATTGTCTTAGATAAAGCATGTCTTAAAAATACTGATTCTTCCTACAACCACAGAAAGTTATGCTTTCTACCTATTTTATACTTTATGATTTGCATTCTTTTTAATTTTTTTAATCCTCACCTGAGGATATTTTTCCATTGATTTTTAGAGAGAGTGGAAGAGAGAGGGAAAGACAGAGAAATATTGATGTGAGAGAAACATATTGATTGGTTGCCTCTTGCATGCACCCTGACCAGGGCCTGGGCCGGGGAGGTGCCTGTAACCGAGGTATGTGCCCCTGATTAGAATCGAACCCAGGATCCTTTGGTCTGCAGGCTGATGCTCTATCCACTGAGCCAAACAGGCTAGGGCTATTATTTGCATTCTTTAATCCCACAATTAATGGAAACATTATGGGCCATGGTGTATTGTTAAAATAATTTAAAATGACTCCCTAGTTTTCTTTAGCGTCACTGCCATTCAAGAATCCTTGAGCTGGCTCTTCCCCAAAATACCCAATAAAATATTATTGTCTACACTGAAAGATGTAAACTTGTAAAGCTAAAGTAATTTTTTGTGAAATTCAGTAAAGAGAAAAAGTGAAACACTGGTTGCATCCAGAATTCGAATAGCCATGTCACTTGGTTCATAATTTGGTGAGTAGCAATGATTTTCAAATGGTACAAATATCATAATTTCTGAGGAAGACCTGTGTGATTTGAGACATTCATCATTTTAGTTTATGTAAAACACTTGTTCATAACTAACTATAGAAAATAAAGGTTAAATTATACATGATGACAATATATAGCAGATAGTGATGGGGTGATGTGGTGTCATGGCCTACTGAATCTCTTAGGAGATATGTGTTTATCAGAAAAGAAGTGGAGATCCTCTTGGCAGTTGTCTCATTTACCAAACATAACATTTAGTATAGCCACGTTGGCTGCTTCCGGTAACCCAGTGATTTGGTGAGAGCCTTTAGATAACAGTGAATTGTTCTAGACTAACAAGTTATGCACAAGTTATTGCTGCAGATCATAGGGCTGTGCTACTTCAAAATGAATGCTAATCTTTTGTGTTAAAATGTCATCTATGTGCTAACACATTGCTTTAAACTAATTATATAAAAAGTTTGTTAAATATTTATTCATAAAAGTGTTTATACCTCCCAACTTCTAAATTTTGTAATGTACTTTATTTCTTTAACTTCAGCTTTGATTAGAAATTGATGTTAAATTTTTTTTTATTAAGGTATTACATATGTGTCCTTATCCCCTCTTTCCCCCCCACCATTCATGCCCTCACCCCCCTGGTGTCTGTGTCCATTGGTTAGGCTTATATGCATGCATACAAATTCTTTGGTTGATCTCTCCCCCTTACCGCCACCCTCCCCTACCTTACTTCTGAGGTTTGAGCATCTGATCGATGCTTCTCTGTCTCTGGATCTGTTTTTGTTCATCAGTTTATATTGTTCATTATAATCCACAAATGAGTGAGATCATGTGAAATTTATCTTTCTCTGACTTATTTCGCTTAGCATAATGCTCTCCAGCTCCATCCATGCTGTTGCAAATGGTAGGAGTTCCTTCCTTTTTATAGCAGCGTAGTATTCCATTGTGTCAATGTACAACAGTTTTTTACTCCACTCATCTGCTGATGGGCACTTAGGCTGTTTCCAAATCTTAGCTATTGTAAATTGTGCTGCTATGAACATAGGGGTGCATATATTCTTTCTGATGGGTGTTTCTAGTTTCTTGGGATATATTCCTAGAAGTGGAAACACTGGGTCGAATGGGAATTCCATTCTTAGTTTTTTTGAGGAAACTCCATACTGTTCTCCACAGTGGCTGCACCAGTCTGCATTCCCACCAACAGTGCACGAGGGCTCTCTTTTCTGCGCATCCTCGCCAGCACTTGTTGTAAGGCAGGGGTGGGCAACCTTTTTGTGAGTGCGTGCCAAAACCAGCAAAATCTCAAAATTCTTCTGCGTGCCAACCCTAATTTTTTGAGAACATGTTACGCCTACTTGATATCTCTTAAGGTGTATGTATGTGAAGAACCTTGAAGAAATAATAAAATTCATTCGAGTGACAAAAACACAGTATATGATGATGAAAAATACATTTATTTTTTAATGTATACATGTACACTGATAGTCCGACAGAAAACTTTATGACTCCGTTTGATATTATCAGTGGGACTTTTGCTGCTGCATCACTGATGACAGAGATTTTACATCAGGTTTATATTTCGTGACCTTCAGAGATATGCACGAGCTACTACTTTCATCCGTCAGGCTACTCCTATTACGAGACTTAACAAAACTCGTCACTGAGAACAAAGATTCACCAGCGTATGTGGATGAAACCAAAACACTGGTCGGATCTAGGAAGGCAGGGAGAGTTAAGGCAGAGGCATAGAAATTGCTCTTCCCCTCTCTCGTCAATCCATGTCTATGGTCTTTAAGATAACTTGTTATGTAAAATTATTTATTTATCTAAGATGCACCTACACTGAATTCATCTGAAAAATAAAAAAAGTCAATATTAAGAAAAAAATTGTAAATGGAAGATTATAAGAGAGGGTTTTGTGTGCCAGCAAAAGTTACTGGCATGCCATGTTTGGCATGTGTGCCAGGGGTTGCCCACCCCTGCCCTAGGAGCTGTATCGGTGAAGATATTGCTTCGGCATATGTCTGAGATTTTGCTGCCTGTGGATTCCTCTAAGATTTTTATTGTTTCCCGTCTTAACTCCTTTATCCGTTTAACTCCTTTATCCATTTTGAGTTTATTTTTGTCTATGGTGTAAATTGGTGGTCTAGTTTCATTTTTTTGCATGTATCTGTCCAATTTTCCCAACACCATTTATTGAAGAGACTGTCTTGACTCCATTACATGTTCTTGCCTCCTTTGTCAAAAATTAATCGAGCTTAGTGGTTTGGGAAGATTTCTGGATTCTCTATTCTATTCCATTGGTCTATATGTCTGTTCTCGTGCCAGTACCAGGCAGTTTTGAGAGCAGTGACTTTGTATAGAGCTTGATATCTGGTATTGAGATCCCTCCTACTTTTTCTTTTTCAGGATTGCTGTAGCTATTCTGGGTCTTTTTTTATTCCAGATGAATTTTTGGAGAGTTCGTTCTTGGTCTGTGAAATATGCCGTTGGTATTTTAATGGGGAGTGCATTGAATCTATAGATTGCTTTGGATAGTATGGACATTTTGATGATGATGTTAAAGTTTTTAATAGAATTTGGCCAGCAGCTTGTTGTGTATCAACGAATCATTTTTTATAATGTTGCAGACATTATTTATGGTTGTGACACCCTTCCATTTTTATTTTTGAAAAATTACTTTGTATGTTTTGATAATTACTTGGGCATGGTATGTTTTATGATTACATTTTTACACAATAAAAGGTTTATGTATTGAAACTGCATAGTAACACAAGTAATTATTTCTACCTTGTGGTACAGATCTGTCAGTGATTTAGTTTGAAATATTTTTGAATCTGTCATATAAATATTTTTTGGCAGGGGTTTTAAGATTTAGAACTGATTGGGAAATAATAGTCTTGATCTGTTGGAAACATTTTTGATTTAAGAAAGAGTGTAGTTTATCACTTTTCAAATAGTCTTCTGAAACAGTTGCAACCATTTTAATATGATGATGGGACCTTTCAGTCCGCAGGCTGACGCTCTATCCACTGAGCCAAACCGGTTAGGGCGTGCTTTGGGTTTCTTAGGTTATATTCCTAGAAGTGGGATCACTGGGTCGAATGGCAGATCCATATTTAATTTTTTGAGGAAACTCCATACTGTTTTCCATAATAGTTGTACCAGTATGCATTCCCACCAGGAGTGCCCTGGGTTCCCTTTTCTCCACATCCTTGCCAGCACTTGTCATTTGTTGTTTTAACAGTAGCCATTCTGACAAGTATGAGTTGATACCTCATTGTCGTTTTAATTTGCATCTCTCTGGTGATCAGTGACTTTAGCATTTTTTCATATGTTTCTTGGCCATCTCTATGTCCTCTTCAGAGAAGTGTCTATTTAGGTCCTTTGCCCATTTTTAAATTGGATTGTTTGTCTTCCTTTTGTTAAGTTGTATGAGTTCCTTATATATTTAGGATATTAACCCTTTATCAGATGTGTCATTGCCAAATATTTTCTCCCATACAGTGGGCTCTCTTTTCGTTTTGTGTGAAATTGTCATTTTTTTCCAAATGGAAGTTCAGTGCAATTTTTACTGATGGTGCCTTCTTGATATAATACCCCAAAGCTAGCCATAAGCATTCTTTTCTTTCCTTGAAAGTTTAAAATTAGCCACATCTGCTTTTGAAAATGCCATTGCTAATTTCATGTGGGAGAATGGTCAGGTATTAGCTATGGACACACGAAAACGAATTCACTCAAGGAATTTATTTTCTCTAGACTGAAGTGTGTATATAAATAATTGATATTGGGAGTGGTGTTAGGTGCAGTAAGATACACACACACACACATATATATATACACACACATACATATATATATACACACACATATGTATGTTATATACACACACACACACACACACACACACACACACACACTAGAGGCCAGGTGCACGAAATTCATACATGAGTGTGGTCCCTAGGCCTGGCCGGCGATCAAAGTCCAAGCATCTGGCATGGACGGGCAGGTCCCAGCTGACCTCTGGGTCCTGGGCAGCAACTGGGCCCCCAGGCCCCCACTCGCCCCCCTCTGCCTGAGTCATTGGGTCCCCACCTGGCTCCCTCAGTGCCTGGGAGCCAGACGGAAGCCCTGCCTGGTTGCTGTCTGCAGGGTGATCAGCAGGATGATTGGGCTCCCATCCGGCTCCCTCAGTGCTTGGGTGCCGGGCGGCAGCCCTGCCCCACGCCGCCACCACTGGTACTGCTCTCATCTGGGTCCACTAGGGCCAGCAGTGCCTCCACTACCGCCCGCTGCCAGCACTGCGCCACCGACACCTGCCATGTTCCACGCTGCCCCTTGGTGGTCGGCACACGTCATAGTGAGCGGTCGAACTCCCCGTTGAGGGGACAATTTGCATATTAGTCTTTTATTATATAGGATGTAGATATATACTAGTATATATATGGTATAATAGAATTTTGAATATATCAAGATAATGGTGTGTGGTTTAAATGCCAAGCCTTAAATCATGTTATTTCTAGTATTTCTTAGTCTTTGCTTAGTGTAAATAAGTCATGGAGATTTTCTTTTTTTTTTTTAATTAATGAATATGAAAGTACTCCGTGTTCATTGTGAAACACTTTGGAATACATGGACAGTATAAAGAAGAAAATATTTTGGGTATATACCCAGAAGTAGAATTGGTGGTGCATATGGTAATTCTATGTTTAATTTTTGAGGAACTCCCCTACAGCAGCTGCACCATCTTATGTTCCATCAATAGTATCCCTCCCTTCCCCCCTCCCTTTCTCCCTCTCCCTCCCTCCCTCCCTTCCTTCCTTCTAATGGGTATGAAATATTATTTCGATGTGGTTTTATTTGCATTTCCCTGATGATTGGTGATCTTAAGCATCTTTTCATATGCTGATTGACCATTTGTATATCTTCTTGCACATATGGTGTTCTCTCCTCCTGCCTCACATTCCCCCAGCAGCACTTCAGGTAGTTTTCAGTGCCATTTACAACTGCTCAAAACCGTGTTATACTGTTCTGCCATATAGATTTCCATATTGTAATGTTTTTCAAATGATAGGACTTTGAAGGGTAGAACTTTTAGTGAGTTTTAGTGGTAAATTTTAAAATGATGGACTTCTGTGTGCATATATGTATTTTAAAAGATAAGATGGCCAGATTTGGTCAAGATCATTTATGTGTGTATATATATATATTATATATATTTCAAAGTTGCTTTCTGGAAGGTTTGTTCAGCAACACGAGGTTTGCTTCTAATTGAATTCACTCCTTCCCCAATTTGTAGGTGCTGAGCAGAGTGGAATTAGCTCAAAAACTTAACTCATCCATCTGCTTTCCTTTGTTCAGATATTTTTGACTTCTCTAGTTTTGCTCTTTAGTCTCACTCATTTTTTGTCTAAGGATTGTACCTTTATTTCTTCACTGCCATTTTAGTTGGAATTTGTGAAGGAGCAGAGGTTGCACAATCAATTTAATTGGAAGTCTATAATTTTCTAAAATCCTGTGAATAAGTTCATAGTCCATATTTTCAATCAGTATTTTACTTAAGAAAATGTCAGTAAAGACAAAGTTATGAGTTGAATATAGTTAGTATTTCAGACCAGAGGTTGGCAGACTTTTTCTCTCAAGGGCTAGATAATAAATATTGTAGGCTTTGTTGAATATTTTTTTTTTGAAAACTCTTTAAAAATGTAAAAACTATTTTTAACTTGCAGTTTGTGGATTGGATTTGGCTGAGAGGCCGGTTTGCTGACCCTTGTTCTGGATTTATTTGCAGTGATCTTGCTAGGCAACACGATTCATTATTGATGAAGAAATTCTTTTCTTAATTAACCTTTCTTAATAGAATTGCAAATTCTAATATTGTTTAGGTGACTTGGTTTTTTTAAATAAATTACTGAGCACTAATATTTATTATTTTAATTTTCAGATGGTGACCCAGATAACTATGTTGCTTACTATAGAAGAGCTACTGCCTTTTTAGCTATGGGAAAATCAAAAGCAGCACTTCCTGATTTAAGTAAAGTGATTGAATTGAAGATGGATTTCACTGCAGTAAGTACATCTAAACTTTCTTTAAGGTTTAATTTAAGGGAACGTGGAAGAGGGAATTTGTTTGTTAAGGTGAGGACTGGCATGCTGGGTAGGCATGGCTGGAGGATATAGAAAGCCACTATGATGTAGTGGACTGGGCAGTAAGAACCCTCCAAAGTCCCTGACATCAAAGGTCTGTGAAAGAGGGACAGTGGGTACATTAGATAATTTTTAGAAGCGTGGCAGTGATGTTCATTCTGTCATTTAGGAAGACCTCTGTGTGGAGGATGGAGTGCAGGGCGCAAGAAGTGAGGCTGAGAGATGAGTTGATGAAGAGGCTGTTAAATTAAGAGACTGTCAGGTTACTAATGACAGTTTCAATTAGTCAGTAGCAGGAACAATAAAGAAAAGGAGATAACTAAGCAGTGGTTTGTAGTGAATTAGACAGAATTCTCCCCTGGAACCAACACACAGACTTCAGAAGTGGAGGAATTTACAACCTAATGGGATATTTTGACAATTGGCAGGTCAGTGTAATGGCCTAAAATAATAGGGCCAATTAGATGGTTTCAAAATTAATTTGATAACTCATTTATTGTTTATAACCTGCCATATTCCAAACAGAATTTGAGATAATTAGATATGGGTGAATGTTTGGTTTGAAATGTTACTATTATTTTAAGATGGAATTCCCAAGTATCTAATTTTCTTTAATCTGTTTGTAAGAAATAAGGCGAGTCCCAAATTCAGGGGTCCTGGTAGAACACAAAACATACTCGGGAGCCAGGCAGCAAGGCAAACATCTTTACTTCTATGTGGAAGGGTAGTCAGCACATGGTCTGGAGCGCACGCACACTGAGCAGGCGGTCTGCTCGGCTTTTTAATCCCTGACACACGTGACCTGTCCCTCACTCTTGATTGGAGCTCAGGCGCACAGTCTTGCTCAATCGGCTAATTCAAAGGGAGGGGTTGGCCTTTGCTGTTTCAAGATGGCAACCCCCAGGGAGCTGCAAGTCATGTGGCCAACATGGCGGCTGCCTAAACTGTTTATTGACAGAAAAGATGACTTGTTTATTCTCACATATTACTTTACCTAGCTAAGCACAACCTTTCACAAAGGTTAAGTAGCTCATTATCCTAATAGTATAGTAGCTATTAGCTGATTGAAGAAGCTTTAATATTGCTTTTTATGTGTGTTGATGCACTTAACAGGGAATTGGGGAAATTTTATGTATTATAAAAGTTTTAGTGGAATATGTATGTAGTTTCTCTCTTTTAAAATTTAATTTTAACTTGTCAATTACAGTTGACATACAATATTAGTTTCAGGTATATAACATAGTGATTAGACATTTATATACTTTACAAAGGATTCATAAAAATATTGCTAAGAGCCATGTCAAAGTACCTGTCTGACACCATACATAGTTATTAGAATACTAGAGGCCCGATGCACGAAATTCATTCAAGGGGCTCGGCCCTCGCAGTTGCCGCGGCTGCTTCAGCCCTCGAAGCCCCAGCTTCATCCAGAAGATCGCCCGGAAGGTTGTCTGGAAGGATGTCCAGAAGGTCGCTTGGCTGTCCGGTCTAATTAGCATATTACACTTTTATTATTATAGATTATTGACTCTATTCCCTATGCTATACTTTACATCCCCATGATTTTATACTTCTTAATTTTGTACTTCTTAATTCCTTTCACCTTGTTCACCCTTCCCCCTCAACCATCTTCCCATCTGACAACCATGGATTTGTTCTCTATATCTGTGAGTTTTTTTATTTGTTTATTTTGTTTTTTAAATTCCACATATAAGTGAAATCAAGTGGTATTTTTCTTTCTTTCACTTTTTTTCACTTAGCATAATACCCTCTAGGTCAGCCGTGGGCAAACTACGGCCCGCGGGCCGGATCTGGCCTGTTTGAAATGAATAAAACTAAAAAAAAAAAAGACCGTACCCTTTTATGTAATGATGTTTACTTTGAATTTATATTAGTTCACACAAACACTCCATCCATGCTTTTGTTCCGGCCCTCTGGTCCAGTTTAAGAACCCATTGTGGCCCTCGAGTCAAAAAGTTTGCCCACCCCTGCTCTAGGTCCATTCATGTTGTCACCGATGGCAATATTTCATTCTTTTTCATGGCTGAGTAAAACTCCAATGTATATATAAATAAATGCCAAATCTTTTTTGTCTATTCGTCTGTTGGTGGACATTTACGCTGCTTCCATATCTTGGCTACTGTAAATAATGCTGCAGTGAACATCGGGGTGCACATGTTTTCAAAATAGTGTTTTGGGTTTCTTCAGATCAATACCAAAAGTGGAATTGGTAGTTATATTTATATTGTTTTCTATAGTGGCTGTACCAATTCACCATACCACCAACAGTACATGAGGGTTCTCTTCTCTCTACATCTCACCAACACTTGCTAGTTGATTTCTGGATGATGGCCATTCTGACAGGTGTGAGGTAACATCTCACTGTGATTTTGATTTGCGTTTCCCTGATGATCAGTACGTTGAGCATCTTTTAATATGTCTTTTGGCTGTCTGTATATGCTCTTTGGAGAAATGTTTATTCAGAGCCTCTGCTCATTTTTAAAGATCAGATTCTTTGTTTTTTGTTGTTTTTTTTGGTGTTAAGTAGTTTGAGTTCCTTACATAATTTGGATATTAACTCCTTATCAGATGTATCATTGGTGACTCTCCCATTCAGATGGTTTCCTTTGCTGTGCAAAAACTTTTTAGTTTGATGTGGTTCCATTTGTTTATTTATTTTTTGTTTCCCTTGCTTGAGGAGACATATCCAAAAGACTATTATCAAGAGCCATGTCAAAGAGTTCACTGCCTATGTTTTCTTCTAGGAGTTTTATGGTTTCAGACCTTATATGTAAGTCTTAAATCCCTTTTTATTTCGTTTTTGTATATGGTATAGGAAAGTGGTCTAGTTTCATTTTTTTTTTTTTTGCATGTATTTGTCCAGTTTTCCCAGCACCATTTACTGAAGAAACTATTGTTACCCCATTGTATATTCTTGCTTCCATTGTCAGAGATTAGTTGAGTATATAGGTGTGGGTTTATTTTTGGGCTCTCTGTTCTGTCCATTGATCTATGAATCTCTTTTTGTGCCAGTACCATGCTGTTTTGATTATATAGCCTTGTAGTATAGTTTGATATCAGGTAGCATGATACTTCTAATTTTATTCTTCTTCCTTCAGATAGCTTTGGCTATTTGGTGACTTCTTTGGTTCCATATATATTTTCGGATTATTTGTTCTAGTTCTGTGAAAAACGCCGTTGGTATTTTTATGGGGTTTGCATTGAATCTATAGATTGCTTTGGATAGTATGGACGTTTTAACAATGTTAATTGTTTCTGTTCAAGAGCATTGTATATCCTTCCATTTTGTGTGTCTTCTTTAGTGTCTTATAGTTTTCCAAGGTCTTTCAGTTCCTTCTTAACTTTCTTCCTAGATATTTTATTTTTTTGATGCAATTGTAAATAGTATTATTTTCTTAATTTCTCTTTTTGGTAGTTATTATTGCTGTATAAAAATAGAATTTATTTCTGAATATTAATTGTGTGTCCTGCTTAATGAATTCACTTATTAATTGTAATCGTTTTTTTGTGGAATCTTCAGTGTTCTCTATATATAGCATGTCATCTACAAATAATGACAGTTGTGCTTCTTTCCAATTTGGATGCCTTTTTATTTCTTTTTCTTATCTGATTGCTATGGCTAGGACTTGCAATAATATGTGAATTAAGGTGGTGAAAGTAGACATCCTTGCTCTGTTTCTGATCTTAAAGAAAAAGTTTGAGTAAGATGTTAGCTGTGGGTTTGTCATATATGGCCTTCATTATGTTGAGGTATATTCCTTCTGTCCCCACTTTGCTGAGAGTTTTTATCATAAATGGATGCTAGATTTTGTCAAATGCTTTTTCTGCACCTATTAAATGATCATATGATCTTTATTCTTGAGTTTGTTTTATGTGGTATATCATGTTAATAGATGTGTGAATATTGAACCAAACTTGCATTTCAGGAATATATTCCACTTGATCCATGGTGTATGATTTTTTTTTTGTTTAATATGTGCTTATTGATTTCAGAGAAAGGAAGGGAAAAGAGAGAGATAGAAACATCGATGAAAGAGAAACATTGATCAGCTGCCTCCTGCACACTCCCTGTTGGGGATTGAGCCTGCAACTCAGGCATGTGTCCTGACCGGGAATTGAACCCGCAAACTTTCTGGTGTTCCAGAATGATGTTCCAACCAACTGAGCCACCTGGCCAGGGCCTTCATAGTGTTTTTAAAATAATCCTTTATATTTCTGTGATGTCTATTGATACTTCTTTTTCATTTCTGATTTTATTTATTTGGGCTCTCTCTTTTTCTTCATGAATTAGGCTAAAGGTCCTTAAATTTTGTTTATCTTTTCACAGAACTAATTCTTAGTTTCAGTGATCTTTTCTGTTGTTTTTTTAAGTCTCTTTCATTTATTTCCACTCTGACCTTTATTATTTCCTTCTTTCTAATCACTTTGTTTTTCTTTTTCTAATGCTCCCATATGTAAAGTTAGATTGTTTATTTGAAATTTTTCTTGTCTCTTGGCATAGGCCTACATTGGTATGAATTTCCCTTTTAGAATTGCTTTGGCTGTGTCCCATTGATTTTTTCAGTGGTTGTGTTTTCATTTTCTTTTGTCTCTCAGTGTATGTTGATTTTCTTCTTGATCTTGTTGTTAACCCATTAATTGTTTAGTAGCATGTTATTTAGCCTCCACATGTTTGTGTTTTTTAGTTTTATTCTTGTGATTGATTTCTAATTTCATTCCATTGTGATTGGAGAAGATGCTTGATATAATTTCAGTCTTATTAAATTTACCGAGACTTGTTTTGTTTCCTAATAGGTTATATATCCTGGAAAACGTTCCATGTACACTTGAACAGAATGTATGATCTGTTGCATTTGGCTGAAATGTTATAAAAATATCAACTTAATCCCTTCAATCTGATGTGTCACTTAAGGCCAGTTTCCTTGTTGATTTTCTGTCTGGGTGATCCATCAATTGATTCTAGTGGGGTGTTAAAGCCCCCTACTCTATTGTATTACTACTGATCTTTCCTTTTATGTTTGTCAAAGTTTGCTTTATATATTGGGTTCTGTGTTGGTGTGGAGATATTTTTAAGAGTTACACATTCTTGTATTAATCCCCTTATCGTTATGAAATACCCTTCTTTATCCTTTGTTATGGCTTTTTTTCTTTAAAAAATGTTTTTATTGATTTTTAGAGGAAGGGAGAGGGATAGAGAGATAGAAACATCAATGATGAGAGATAGAAACATCAGTGATGATTATCAATTGGTTGCCTCCTGTATACCCCCTACTGGTGATTGAGCCTGCAACCTAGGCATGTACTCTGACTGGGAATCGAACTGGTGACCTCCTAGTTCATGGGTTGATGTTCAACCACTGAGCCGCACCAGGCCTTTTTCTTAAAGTCTGTTTTGTCTGATATAAATATTGTTACCCCAACCTTTTTTTTTTTCATTTTTACTAGCATGAAATATCTTTTTCCAACCCTTTATTTTCAGTCAGTGTGCATCTTTTGATCTGAGGTGGGTCTCTTATAGGCAATATATGTACGCCTTGTTTTTTAATCAATTCAGCCACCTCATGTTTTTGACTGGAGCATGTAGTCCATTTACATTTAAAGAAATTATTGATAGGTTTTTAGTGATTGCTATTTTATTAATTGTTTTCTGATTGTTTTTGTGGTTCTCTGTTCTTATTCTCTTGGCTCTTCCCTTGTATGTTGATGACTTTCTGTAGTGTTATGTTTGGGTTCCTTTCTTTTTATTTCTTGTATATTTCTTGTAAATGTTTGGTTATGGTTACCATGTGCTTTATATATACCAAGTTATGTTTAAAGTAGTCTATTTTAAGTTGATGGTCACTTAGGATTGAACATATTCTAAAATCAGTACAATTTTTACTCATCTCCATGTTTATGTTTTTGGCGTTATTTTTTACTTATTTTATGTGTGTTTATATGTATTCCTAAATTTATTGTTGTAATTACACATGATCTTCTTTTAACCTTTGTACTAGCTTTATATTTACTAGAGGCCCGGTGCATGAGATTTGTGCACTGGGGGTGGAGGGTTCCTCAGCCTGGCTTGTGCCCTCTCGCAGTCCAGGACCCGTTGGGGGATGTCCACCTGCTGGCTTAGGCCCGATCTCCCTAGGGATCGGGCCTAAGCTGGCAGTCAGACATCCATCTCGCAGTCCGGGGCTCTCGCAGTCTGGAACCCCTTGCTCCTTACTGCCCTCCTGCAGCAAAGGCTCCTGCCACTGCCACTGTGCTCTCAAGCTGTGAGCCAGGCTTCTGGCTGAGCGGCGCTCCCCCTCTGGGAGTGCACTGACCACCAGGGGCAGCTCCTGCATTGAGCATCTGCAAGTGTTACCACTGTCTAGTTCCAGAACATTTTTATCACCTCAAAAAGAAACCCTGTAGCCCGGCCAGTGTGGCTCAGTGGTTGAGCATCGACTTATGAACCAGGAGATCATAGTTCGATTCCCACTCAGAGCACATGTCCGGGTGGGGGCTGTACAAGAGGCTACTGATCAGTGATTCTCTCTCATCTTTGATGTTTCTACCCCTCTCCCCCTTTCCCTTCCTCACTGATGTGTGTGTGTGTGTGTGTGTGTGTGTGTGTATATATATATATATTTAAAAAAGAAACCCTGTACTCATTAATAGTCATTATCATATCTTCCCTAGCCCCTGGCAACCACTTATTTTTCTGTCTCTATGGAATTTGGATATTTTACATAAATGAAATCTTACTATTATATAGCCATTTATGTCTGACTTCTTTTCACTTAGCATAAAGTTTTCAAGGTTCTTATACTTTACTAGAGGCCCAGTGCACAAAAATTTGTGCACTCGGGGGGCGGAGGAGGGGGGGTCCCCCAGCCCGGCCTGTGCCCTCTCGCAGTCTGGGACCCCTCGGGAGATAACGACCTGCTGGCTTAGGCCTGCTTCCGGGTGGCAGAGGGCAGGCCCAATCCCTAAGTGCAGCCCCTGGTCAGGCTCAGAGCAGGGCCGATTGGGGAGTTGGGGCGCCGCCCCGTCATGCACAGAGCAGGATCTGGAGGTTGCGATGCCCCCCTCAGTCACGCTCAGGGTAGGGCCGATTGGGGGGTGGGGGCACCGCCCCCTGTCACACTCAAGGCAGGGTCGATGGGGAGGTTGCGGCGCCACCCCTTGTCATGCACAGAGCAGGGCTGATCAAGGGGTTGGGGCGCTGCCCCCTGTCACTCACAGAGTAGGGCCGATAGGGGAGTTGGGGCACCGCCCCCTGTCACACTCAAGGCAGGGTCGATGGGGAGGTTGCGGCGCCACCCCTTGTCATGCACAGAGCAGGGCTGATCAAGGGGTTGGGGCGCTGCCCCCTGTCACTCACAGAGTAGGGCCGATAGGGGAGTTGGGGCACCGCCCCCTGTCACACTCAAGGCAGGGTCGATGGGGAGGTTGCGGCGCCACCCCTTGTCATGCACAGAGCAGGGCTGATCAAGGGGTTGGGGCGCTGCCCCCTGTCACTCACAGAGTAGGGCCGATAGGGGAGTTGGGGCACCGCCCCCTGTCACACTCAAGGCAGGGTCGATGGGGAGGTTGCGGCGCCACCCCTTGTCATGCACAGAGCAGGGCTGATCAAGGGGTTGGGGCGCTGCCCCCTGTCACGCTGATCCCGGTGCCGGGAGCCTCGCTGCTCTGCTGATCCCGGTGCTGGGAGGCATATTACCCTTTTACTATATAGAATAGAGGCCTGGGGCATGGGTGGGGGCTGGCTGGTTTGCCCTGAAGGGTGTCCTGGATCAGGGGGGGGGTCCCCACTGGGGTGCCTGGCCAGTCTGGGTGAGGGGCTGAGGGCTGTTTTCCGGCTGGCGAGTGACTGAAGCTTCCAACCGCTCGTTGTTTTCTTTTTTTTCTTTTATTCTGGGCCAGCTTTAGCTCTGAGGCCTCGCTGCTGAAAACATGGATACAATGTTTCGGTCCGGCTGGGTTTCAGTCTGGCTGGGTTTCAGTCCGGCTGTTTTCTGGGGTTTTGTTTACCTTCTTATTTGCAACATAGTATATAGTTGCTTAGACTTGCAGATGAGAGGCCGGCAAGTGAGGCAGGGAACGTTGGAGTCTGCAGCAAGCAAGCCTCCCTGCTCGCTTCAGTGCCTGGCTGCCGGCCGCCCTCTTGGCTGACAGTTAATTTGCATATACTCACTGATTAGCCAATGAAAAGGGTAGCGGTCGTACGCCAATTACCATGTTTCTCTTTTATTAGTGTAGATTCCTTTTTATAGCTGAATAACAATTCCATTGTATGGATTTTATCACATTTGCTTATTGATTTATTAGTTGATGGGAACTTGGGTTGTTTTCCACTTTTTGGCTATTGCTGTGAACATTCATGTACAAGATTTTGTATGGACAAATGTTTTCAACATTTTGGGTATAGCAGAAAGTATTTTTAAGGAAGCATACTTTATCAAAAATTAAACATATTTGTTGGTTCCAGGAAATATTCTTAGAGTGCCAAATCAAATAGGCATTGGAAAATAATTATTTCATTAATACTTCATTAGCTTATTTAATTTTATTCTTCGTGTTTAAAGAACATTTAGAAATGCATAGTACTCAACACCTTTCTATTATTTTTTTCTAGGCAAGATTACAGAGAGGCCACTTATTACTCAAACAAGGAAAACTTGATGAAGCAGAAGATGATTTTAAAAAAGTGGTAAGTTAAATTTGTGTTTGGCTCTTTGAACATGTTATTTTGAGTGAATATATTCGATTTATATTTTATAGGAAGACATAATAATTTTATATGTAAAAGGGAAAATATTTCATTTGTGTATATAAGAATCACAGTTCTTTAATTAATACTTGGTGGCTGACATCAAAGAATCACTTTAATAGATGGTAGGTAAAGTCTGAGGAATAAATATATAATCCTGACTCAGTTTTTGTAGCTCACATGCTCTGTTTTGTCTTCTGGGAGAATCTAGAGAAGTCAGCTGAACTATTCTAAGTCCTTTATGGTACTTGGGAACCCCTTTATTTGATTTGAAAGGAGTAATGACACAAATTCTCTTTTTATGTTAATCCTCACTGGAAGTTATTTCCCATTGATTTTTTTTTAGAGAGAGTAGAAGGGAGTGATGGAGAGAGAGAATGGGGCGGGGGGAGAAGAGAGAAGGAGGGAGAGAAACATTGATGTGAGAGACGCATTGATTGGTTGTCTCCCGCATGCTCCCCTTCCTGCCCTATGACCATGGAACAAACCTGAAATGAGGTATGTGCCCTTGACTGAGAATCAAACCCATGACCCTTCAGTGGGGAGGGTTGATGCTCTACCACTGAGTAACACTGGCCAGGGCCATGAAACAGATTCTTAAAAGGGATTTTCTCAGTTTCCCATATGGCTACTTTACGCAGCGTAAAGTGTTGTTGAGGATTTCATTCAAGAGGGCAGAGTAGCGCCCAGAGTCTCTGTGACAAACTGACCTTTTACTTGCTAATGCTGGCAGCCTTTCATAACGCTTTGTTGTACTATTATACTAAAAGAACCTGTACCAGGCAGAGATGAAAAGTTATGAAACTGGGTGGAGAAAACAGAGAACTCTGTATTCCCACTTCATTTGTTCATTTAACAAACCTTTATTTTGCTAGGCAGTATAATGTTAAATATCTGATTTCTGTCCAAAAAAGTGTGAAGCATTTTGGATTTGTTGGGGGAATGTAAGATAATATGTAATTGAAAGGGGTATATCCTGAAAAATGATTTAGAGAGAGATAGCTAGCCCAATATCTTTCTGCCTTCCTTGGGCTTGTTTTAAGACCTGCATTTTTGTTCTACATGGATTTGTTTCTGGAATGGTTTAGAAAGGCCATACATTAGAGTCCATTATTCATTATTTGCATTTTTGTGGTTTATCAAAATGCTTAGGTACTATGATGATATCTACTCTGACAATAAAACTAAAATTTCCGACATTTTCATAACCTTACCACAATGCTCAGTCGTATGCAGAAAAATCTAGAAAACAATAGTTTTGAATCAGAAGCTTGTCTCATGATCTCAGTAACATTGGATGTAATTTTCTGTTGATCTAATCTTCCTTGCTACTTGAGAGCAGGCTGAAGGATGAGTGGTGGAGACACAAATGTGCTGGGAGCATAACTTTCTCTAGCTCAGTCCTTTGTATATAGCAAGTGTTGTATAAAAATCTGTTGAGTGGATAAATAAATGATAAAACACAAGGATGTGTTTTTTTCTTTTTAACAAATATTGAAATATATTGCTTAGAGTTGGTTTTTTTCAATCACACATTAATAACACTATTATTTTTTGTTGTTAATCCTCAGCTGAGGATATTTTTTCATATTAATTTTTTAGAGAGAGTGGAAGGGAGAGGGAGAGACAGAGAGGTACATTGATTGGCTGCCTCCTGCACACCCCCTGACCAGGGCTGGGGAACCTGCAACCAAGGTACCTGCCTTTGACCAGAATCGAACCCAGGACCCTTCGTCCGCAGGCCAACGCTCTATCCACTGAGCCAAACCAGCTAGGGCGAAATAGCACAGTCTTATACTATTAAAAGGGTAATATGCTAATTAGACTGGGAGACCTTCCAGATGTTCTTCTGGACAAAGCCATGGTGGCGGGGCAGAGGCAGAGGTGGTTAGGGGCGATCAGGCCAGGATGGGGAGGGCAATTGGGGGGTGATCAGACCGGTGCGGGGGAGGCAGTTGGGGGCGAGCAGGCTGGCAGGGGGAGCCAGTTGGGGGCGAGCAGGCCAGCAGGTGGGGGGCAGTTGGGGGTGAGCAGCTGGCAGTGTGGGGCAGTTGGGGGTGATCAGGCCGGCAAGGGGGGGCAGTTGGGGGGCGAGAAGGCCGGCAGGCAGAGTTGTTAGGGGCGATCAGGCAGGCAGGCAGGTGAGCGGTTAGGAGCCAGTGGTCCCAGATTGCGAGGGGGGATGTCTGACTGCCGGTTTAGGCCCGATCCCACAGGGGTCCCAGATTGGAGAGGGTGCAGGCCGGGCTGAGGGATACCCCGCACTCCCGTGCATGAATTTCATGCACCAGGTCACTAATTTAGAATAAAGCTTTAGCATAAGTTAATCCTTAGTGGGCATTGAATGTATCTTTTTGGAAAAGTGAGTGTTTGGAACTTTGGGTATGTGTTGGGTTAATTAATGTGCTTTCTGTGATCAATATGAAAACCTTCCAGAAGCAAGAAGGGGAACTTTGATGTCACTTTTCACTTTTAGATTGTTCTCTGACAGTCATGCTTCTACTGGTGTGTTCTTAACACTATCCTTGCTGTTACTGTTATAGGATTCTTCCATGAGAATGCACATCAGTACTGAATATTTAATTTTTAATTGAAAGTTTTGAGATAATCGTAGATTCCCATGAATTAACACAAAGATTCTTTGTACCTTTCACCCAATCCCCAGTCTCCCCCAATGATAGCATCTTATAAAACTACTAGAGGCCCAGTGCACGAAAATTTGTGCACTAGAGGGGGGAGCCCTCAACCCAGCCTGCCCCCTCTCACAGTCCGCGGGGAGTGGGCCTAAGCCACAATCTGGCCTCCCTCTGCGGGAGGTGACTGGGCCGATCAGGGGAAGGCGCCACCCCCATCACCCCGTTGCTGCTGCCACTGCAGGCCGCTGTAGCTGTCTGCCCTCAGCCCTCGCAGCCGCTGCGGCTTTGTTCGGAAGGACGTTCACAAGATCTCTTGTCTGTCTGGTCTAATTAGCATATTACCCTTTTCTTAGTATAGATACTTCAATACTACAACCAGGATATTGACATTGATACAATCTACCAGTCCATTTAGGTTCTCACAGTTTTACTAGTGTTCATTTGTGTGTATTAACTCTGTACACTTTTTTTATATCTATCACCACAGTCAAGGTACTGAACAGTTTATTGCCAGAATGATATCCCTCCTGTTGATCCCTGCTGTTGCCCGTTAATAACCACACCTACTTCTCTTCCATAATTCTTCAGCCCCTCATCCATAACTACAAGCAAACACTAATTTGTTACTCATTTCTTAAATTTTGATATTTCAAAAATTTTGTGTACATGGACTCAAATGTATGTCACCTTTTGGAAGCCCCCCCCCCCCCCCCACCTCGGGATAATTCCCTGGAGAGTCATCCAGATTGTTGCCTATATCACTTAGCTTATTCCTTTTAATTGCTGAGAATTTCACGGTATGTGTAGGACACATTTTATTTATCCATTCATTAATTGATAGACATTTGCATTGTTTTCACTTTTTGGCTATTAAGAATAAAACTACTCTGAACATTTTCATATAGGTTGTAGTATAAACGTATATTTTCATTTTGCTGGGATAAATAAGTACCCAGGAGTGCAGTTTCTGGGTTGTAATTTCATGTTTAGTTTTATATATAAGAAACCACCAACTTGCTTTCCAAAGTGACTGAGCCATTTTACGTTTCTTGGCATCCTTGCCCGTATTTGGTATTGTTACTATTTTTTATTTTACCCATTCTGAGAGGTGTGTAGTGATAGTGCAATGTTGTTTTAATTCACATTTCTCTAATGACTAGTGATCTTTTCATGTGTTTATTTGCTATCTGTAAGTCCTTTTTGGTATAATGGCTGTTCATGTCTTTTGCCTATGTTCTAATTGGATTGTTTGCTTTTTCACTATTGTGTTTTTGGAGTTCTTTATATATTTTAGATATATTTTAGATACTTTATCACATATGTGGTTTGCAAATATTTTCTACCAGTCTCTTTTCTCAACTTTTTACCCGAGCTTTCAGAGAACAAAAGTTTTTAAGATTTTTTATGAAGTCTAATTTATTAATTTTTTTTCCTGTGAGTAATGTTTTGGTATTATGCCTAAGACTTATTCACCAAGCCTTGGGTTTCAGAGATTTTTTTCCTATGTTTATCTCTCTCTCCGTTTCCCTTCTTCTCTAAAATCAGTAAAAATATATTTAAAAAAATAAAAATTTATGTAACAGTTTTGTGTGTAAGAATAATCGTAATTAGATTGGATTTGGTTTAGAGAAAAATACAAGTACAGAATTCACACATTTTAAAGTATTTAAAAATTTAAAAAAATTCTTACCCGAGGGTATGTTTTTCATTGATTTGAGAGAGAGAGAGAGAGAGAGAGAGAGAGAGAGAGGAAAAAAACATCAATGTGAGAGAGAAACATTGATCAGTTGCCTCCCGTACATGTCCCGACTGGGGACTGAACCTGAAACCTAGGTAGTATGTGCCCTGACCAGGAATCAAACCTGCTGCCATCTTTCAGTACACCAGATGATCCTCCAACCAACTGAGCCACACTGGCCAGGGCTTATGTTACGTTTTATTTGAAGTATGTCTGGGTTATCTGGAATACCTGGATTTAGAATTCAGATTAATAATTAGAAAATCTCAAATTCATATCCTTTTTCTAGATAGAAGTACAGTGTCCCAAGGGTATACCAGTAGATGGCAGAGGAGGAGACAAGATCATAAAATGGGAATATTGAGAAGAACTTAGCAGTTAACATATATTAAATTGACTAAATTTTAAGCATTTAGAACTTACATTCTGCTGGACAAATGACAAAAGAATGTTATCAGGTGAACAGCACAGAGGTACAAATTCAAAACCAATACCTCCAATAATTAGTCTTTCTAAGTGAGGAGGTAAACATTGGAACTATTTAGAGGGACCACTGTCTGTTACATTAAGCAAAAATAAATAAATAATATAGAGCCTAATGTTGATGGAATTTGAAGGAAATGTTTCTAGTCATATATAATACTGTGAACATTGCAAATATAAACAGGACTTTTGCAGAAAAATCTGTATTATGAAAAAAAAATATTTTCTCAAAGATAATAAAGAATATTCATTAACCAGAAATACACACACACACACACACACACACACACACACACTAGAGGCCTGGTGCATGAAAATTCGTGCACTGGGGGGGGGGGGGGTCCCTCAGCCCGGCCTGCCCCCCTCTCACAGTCCGGGAGCCCTCAGGGGACGTCTTACTGACGCAGTCTGGCCTCCCTCTGGGAGGCAACCGGCTGATCAGGGGAAGGCGATTCCCCTTTCACGCCTCTGCTACTGCCACTGCCAGCCATCGTGGCTGCCTGAGCCTCGGGCCCTTGCAGAGGCAGCCGCCATCCATGGCTTGCCTGAGCCCCGGGCAGCCGCTGTGGCTTTGTCTGGAAGGCTCAAACATCCGCCCTAATTAGCATATTACCCTTTTATTAGTATAAATGGTGTTGCTTTATAAACCTAGTTGTGGAAAATAAAGTTAGTTAAAAGGAAAAATAAAAATGTTGTGTAAATGTTATCACTACAGAAAAACATTTATGTGTGCTAGATTGGTATAAGTGGCAATTATTTAAAGCTTATAGCTTGCCTTGTCCACTGACTTTCCCCTCTCTCACCTTCCAACAACAACAAAAATTGTGTGGAAGAGACTAGTCTGTTAAGATTAGGAGAGGAAAGATGCACATTCCATCCAGAAGAGGCACTCTCTAATACATTCCAATACAATCTATCCAAAAGGGAGCAGTGGTGAACATATAGAAAACAAGTTATCAATAAACTTCTACCGAGAGCAAAGAGACAGCACACACACACATTTGTACTCCTTCCAATGTGGTCTATCACAAGTATTCAAGACCACCCCAAGGATGGTAAGACAGTCATAGACAAGCATTCCATGGCCGTAATGCAACTCACCTTCAGCTGCATAATTCAGTCATGCAGTGACAGTCCCCCCCAAGCCAGAGCAAGCTGAGGTGACCAATTTCTTCCTAATTACCTATGACTACTTGGAGTCCTGTCTATTCCTTCAAAAGCCAGAGGTTATACAGACGAAATAGAATACCTAAAGTATCCTAAAAACAAGTGGAGAAATATAGAGCCTCTATCAAGTGATGATAATCTTAATGTTTCTCCTTTGGAGTATTTTCTCCTACCAGGTGGTTCTGGGGGTGTTTTTACAAAATAAATCCACTAGAAGGGGAAACAGTATGATTGGTCAATTGAAGGAGAGACATTTTTAGAAATCAACTATTGTCTTCACCACACCCAAAAATTGGAACCTAGCAACTACAATTCTCATCTTAATAAGAATATTAGATTTCAGGAATTATTACATAACTAATCTTAAAGAAAAAAGTTCCCCAAAAAGTCAGTAGCTTTTTAAAAAAAATTAAAATTCTTTATTGTTTAAAGTATTACACATGTCTCCTTTTCCCCCCATTGACCTCTCCCCGGCCATTCCCACCCCCCAGCACATGTCCTCACCCCCTGTACTATCTGTGTCCATGGGTTATGCTTATATGCATGCATACAAGTCCTTTGGTTGATCTCTTATCATCCCCTCCCCTGCTTTCCCTCTGAGGTTGGATGGTCTGTTCGATGCTTCTGTGTCTCTGAATCTATTTTTGTTCATCAGTTTATGTTGTTAAAAGTCAGTAGCTTTTTAATGTCGCACCTCATTTTTCTGAGCCATTAAGCTTAATGTTTTCCATCTGGAGGATGAAATTATTAAGAGTCATTGTGTATGAGACCAGGCTGGGAGCGGGGATGAACTGTAAACAGACACAAAGGATCTTATTGGGGTGACATAAATGGTCTAAAAATGTGGAGATGGTTGCATACATGGTTAAAAATCATAGAATTACCCCAAATTAGTGAATTTTTGATATATAAATTATACATAGATAATGTTGTTAAAAAAGAGGCAAAGGCCCTAGTTGGTGTGGTTCAGTTGGTTGGGTATCATCTTGTGCATCAAAAGGTTGCCAGTTTGATTCCTGGTCAGGCCACATGCCCGATTGCAGGCTCGATCCCTGGTAGTGGATGTGCAGGAGGCAGCTGATCCAATCGATGTTCTGCTCTCACATTGATGTGTCTCCCTTCCTCTCTCTTTCAAAATCAATAAAAATATCTATCAATATAAAAGCTTAAGCATTTGACCAGTTGCTATGATGTTCACTGACCACCAGGGGGCAGGTGCTGAATGCAGGAGCAGCCCCCTGATGATCACTGTGCTCCCACAGCGGAGTGCTGCTCAGCTGACTGACAGGCTCCTGCAGCGGTGTGAGCCTCTCATGTGGACATTCCTCCTGAGTGCCCCTCCCCCATCTGGACAGTGACTGGGATCGGGACTGGCATCAGGACTGACTGGGCTGCTTCTTGGTCATGGGCGCGCTGGTATCGCCCTGGGACTGGTGCGTCGAGACCGCAGCAGAGCGGCAGTGAGCTTACCTAGCGGCGGGTAGGCACAGTGGGGCTGGGATGAGCCGGAGCGGTGCAGCGCCCAGCCTGGGCTCGGGCTCCTCCCAGCTGCCTGCCACTTCGCACACTACTACATCCCTCCGGGGATGTTGGACTGCCGGTTTCAGCCCTATCCCTGCAGGCCACGCCGAGGGACCCCACTGGTGCACGAATCCATGCACCAGGCCTCCTGTTTAAAATAAAAAGAGAACAATGTGTAAACCTCTTAAAATCACATCATAAGCCTTTTAAATAAGGTATTACTAATACTCTTATTTTTCCTTGTATATTCTTTCTTATTATATCTTAGCCCCTCCAGCATCAAATGCTTTTCTGTCTTATAAGCTCTAAAAAATGCCCTCTCTGTCTCTCTTTCCCTGTGTTTTTTTATTATTTTGGTAAAATTATTTTATACTTAAAAATACTTAGGAAGTATAACTAGAAAGCAAAATACATAAAACTCATTATTTTCTCTAGAGCTATACATAAGAAAGTGAGAGTGTTGCTTTCCTTTATTCTTCATTCTTCTCTACCCTCTCATGTTCCTAAATATATTTGCTTCCTGTGTCTGGGGTTCCAGGTCTTTGACCCTCGCTCCACTGCTTGCTCATGCGCACCACACTGGTGGGAGGTGCCTTTGCGGTTGCTTTCCATGGTGGTCAGCACCAGGAGCAAGTCAGTGGACAAGACAAGCCAGTTTTGCTTGTGTGTCATTCCTTTCTCCCCAATGAACTTAATTAGGAATGGTTAGATTATTGCGTATACTATGGGTTTTAGACTTAAGAGATGGAAAACCCTGTTTAATTTAATTTATTATTCTTATAGCTCAAATCTAATCCAAGTGAAAATGAAGAAAAGGAAGCCCAATCCCAACTCATAAAATCTGATGAAATGCAGCGTTTGCGTTCACAGGCCCTTGATGCTTTTGAAAATTCAGATTATATTGGTGCTATAACCTCCCTTGACAAGATTTTAGAGGTAAGTTTCTTAAGTAGTACAGCTGATAAGCCTAACACTTACTACTTTTTACAATAAGGCATCTTTATATACTTTGATATGTAATGTACCACAGAAAACCTAAATAGTATAAAATCAGACTGTCCTTGGGCTTTTGGCTCTTAAGAGAAACATGGTCTTTATAGAGAACAAAATTTGGAACTGAAGTTTTCAGTAAATGTAATGAATGTGCTATGAAATGGGAGTTACATATTTTTACACATTGCTTGTTTTGCTATTTTTACTTGACTTTTTTGGGGGGGTGGGGAAGAAAACTCTAGAGGTTAAATAATGGGGTACAAGATGAAAGAGTTGGTTAAGAAAAAGGAAAAATAATGTTTGGGAAGAAAAAGGAGTGAGAAGTTGCTAGGGAAGAAGGCAGATGAAAGAGTTGATAGGATCCAGACAGTTCTAGATTGGGAAAACAAAGTCTATAGTTTCGTTGCCTCTGAAGGACTTAAGAAAGACAAGTGGTTTCAGAAGGAATTTTACTAAAATATTCATATGAAAGCAATCATAATTCATATTTATCATTTTTATAGGACTTTCATATATAGTTTCATTTCATCTTGGCAGTAAACTTATATGTAGAATGTGCACTTTGACAATTTTATAGAGGAAATTGTGATGTGATCCAGTAGAATTCATGTTTTGCTAAATCATTTTGTAAATGTTTTATTAAGGAAAAATACAGTTACAATTTTTACCTTCCAGTATTTAAACTGTCCATTTTGACATAACTTATTGTTCATATTTAATTGATGTCCAATGTTGTCTTTGATAACTTAATATATGTGAGAAGTTGACATGACTTTAGCATAACTTTTAAGAAATGTGTACAGACACTTCCACAGACCTTATTGGTAAGCTTTTGGGTTTACATTTTGAAGAATACCAGTGCATTTACTACACATGGTAAACTGTTCAATAAAATGGAAACGAAGCCTCCACCTTCTCACATTGTTTTTCTTTTTTTCTCTCTTTCTGATATGAGGACTTAATTTCAAGATGACATTTTTCAAAAGAGAATTTTACTTAGTTATTAGTAGAATAAAAATATTTTGCAAATTTAGAACCTAGATTTTTATTTTTTGCTACTAGAAATTAGAATTGTTGGTTACAAAAATCCAATTACAGAATACCCCCTTCAAAATCAAATGTTTCATTGGGAACAACCTTCTACTGGTAAATGCCATGCGTTCTTATTTTCAAAGTTTTACAATTATATCATTGAAGGAGATGGGAAAAGGGCCTTGTCAGTATATGTATTTCCTTCCCCTGTTAGAACTTATTTACGATATTCTTAGAGAAATTATTTTATTACATTTACTAATTTTTGTCACATCTAAATTGTATCAGATTTTTAAATACTATATACCATATAGAAGTTACCACATTAATTGAGGATGTTTTATATTGATAAATCTGTAGGTAAAATATGTGGGGTGTAAGTATAAATGTGCATAATTTCTTGTTTCTTTTTTAAAGTCTAGTTCTTTTGTTTCTCAAGGTTTGTGTTTGGGATGCTGATCTACGGGAACTTCGAGCTGAGTGTTTTATAAAAGAAGGGGAACCTAGGAAAGCAATAAGTGACTTAAAAGCTGCATCAAAATTGAAGAATGACAATACTGAGGCTTTTTATAAAATCAGCACACTGTACTACCAACTAGGAGATCATGAACTATCCCTCAGGTCTGTTCTTCTGGCTCACACATCTCATCATCCTTTTGTTGGCAGTAACATAATACTATTTTCTTTTTAATTTTAAATTAATAAAATTGTGATTAAGGCTGTTTTTATTTTCTGTTATCTGTTTATATATTTTGTGTTTATATTCTATTATCTATTTATACATTTCAAGTTATTCTACTTCCACATAGTTTATTTTCATGAACTATGCTTATTAAAATAAATAGGGATGTTATTATTTGTAGAAACAAAATGGGAATATTTAATGTATAACACTACTTAAGTCATTTTAATTTGAATTAATAAGTGTGTGCATGTTCCAATACCATATATACAAATATATGGTAAATTATTAAGCCAGTATGTTTTAATTGTTACACACAACAAAATACCTTTTATTGTAATTTCTGTATTTGTAAATGTTTTATTAAGGAAAAATACTCATTGATTATTTTGACTTGGAATATCTTCTTCTTTTTAAATACATGAGCAGTGAAGTTCGTGAATGCCTTAAACTTGACCAGGATCATAAAAGATGTTTTGCACACTATAAACAAGTAAAGAAACTTAATAAGCTGATTGAGTCAGCTGAGGAACTCATCAGAGATGGCAGGTAAGCATATGCTGTCTAGACTCTCCAGCATTCCCTCATGTGTCCTTTGTAGGCACAAAAGAACCATTGAACTGCTTGCTTTTTTACCCCTTAGCAATCAAGGATGGAGTTATCTTAACACTGGGCTTTAACAAAAACTGTACATTAAAAAAAAATAAAGCAGAATATAAATAATAGTAACTGCATAGTATTCTTACCAGATTTATTTATATTTCACCAAATACTTATTGAGTATCTCCGGTATCAAGCACTGACTATGTCCTGGGGTTGCAGAAATGCATATGACTAGTTTTTTATTTTAAGAAGCTTTTGGTATAGTTAGGGAGACAGACATATAAATTATTAAAAGGTAATGTAGTCTCTAGAGTGATAGAGATATATACAGAGATTCTCCCTCCCCCCTCTCGCCCCCCATGGTATAGGAATCTCGGTTATAACAGTTCCTTTGTTATAGTACCTGAAAAATATTGTACCACTTTTTTCTGGCCTCCATGATTCCTGATGAGAAATCCATCGTCATTTTAATTGCTTTTTTCTCTTAAAGATAAGGTATCATTTTCCTCTAACTTCTTATAAGATTTTTAACCCTTGTCTTTAGTATTCATGAGTTTAATTATGATGTGCATTTCCTATGTTTATCCTTTTTGGAGTCTTATTTCATTGCTAGAATATATAGGTTTACATCTTATCAGATTTGGTAAGTTCCCAGCTAATATTTTTTGGAGTGCTATTGAGCCCTTCCCTCTCTATACTTTGCTTCTTAGACTCTGATTGACTTAAAGGTTAATAACTCTTTTGTTATAGCCCCACAGGTTCCTGGGCTCTGTTCATTTTTTCCCCCCATTTATTTTCTCTCTGTTAAGATTTGGTAATTTCTGTTGTTCTAATAAACTGCTTCTTTCCTTTCTCCTTCAATAAGCTATTAAGCCCATTCAGTGGCCCTTTTATTTCAGTTTTTCTGTTTTTCAATTCTAAAAATTAGTTATTCTTTTATATCTTCTGTTTCTTTGTTGAGGCAAAAATTCAATTTGGTTATTCTTTTATATCTTTTGTTTCTTTGTTGAGGCACTTTTTAAAAAAATATGTTTTTATTTATTTCAGAGAGAGGAAGGGAGAGGGAGAGAGAGACAGAAACATCAATAATGAGAGAAAATCATCGATTGGCTGCCTCCTGCATGAGCCTGCAACCCGGGCATGTGCCCTGAGGGGAATTGAACTTCGACCTCCTGGTTCATGGGTCGACATTTAACCACTGAGCTATGCTGGCTGGGCCATTCTGTTTTTTTGTTTTGTTTTGTTTTGTTTTTTTCCCATTGCTTTAAGCATGTTTATCATAGTTGCTTTTTTCATGGCTGCTTTAAAGTTTTTGTCAGATAATTCAAACATGTCTGTCCTGTTAGTGTTTGAATTTATTGTCTTTTTTAGTTTGAGATCTGTTACTTGGTATGGGAGTGGTTTTTAATTGAAACCTGGACATATAAGACTGTTTTTTCTGTTTTGGCTGTTTTTTTCTGACATTGTTCCAGCAAAGTGGGGGTGGGCAGTGGAGGTAGAAGTTTCCCACTCAGCCTTCATCGATACTCGAGGTGTGGGGGCTTCTTGCTACTACTTGGTGCAGGTGAGAGTTTAGGGGGGACTCATTTTCAGCATGGATGAAAGTCCTGGCTCTTCACCTGGCCTTCTCTGACAGCACCTTGGTATGGGTGTGGGCACAGCTCATTAGTCTAACCATGGAAGAAGGCTGGGCGCTCTCCACACGGCCTGCTGGCGTTGATGGAGGGGCGGGGGGTGTGCCATAATTTTCTCTGGTGTTTGGCTGGCCTAGAGCCATTATTCTGTCTTGTTAAGCTGCTCTTTCCAGGTCTTTTGGCTTGGGGCAACAGGTTTTTGCTTTTTGTTTGTTTGTTTTATGTATGTGTGTGTATTTGTACCCATTAGCATTTCTGGGTTGCTGGCTTCCTCAGCTCCAAGTCTGGGGTCTATGAAGCAAAAGAGAAACCCAAGGACTTACCACATTGCTTTCCCTCAGGTCTAGAGGTCCCTAGCTGGTCTACCATCTTTCCCTTTCTTAGTCTTTCAATATTTTAAAAACTGTCTAATGTCTAGGGTATTCATTTGTACCTAGGTAGACAAATTGGGGAAAGTAGATTTATTCCACCTTCCTGGAAGATAGCTTTTTTTTTTTTAAGTGAAGTGTAGTATTTTCTAATTGAGCTTTTTATTTTGAGCTAATTATAGCTTCACATGTAGGTGTAAGAAGTAAAGCAAGGTCTCGTGTGCTCTGTGCAGTTTCCTACAGTTGTTTTTCATCATGGAAAACTTTAGAACTGTATCCCTACTAAGATTTTGACATAGATAGCTAGCTTCTGTTTTAAATATTACATTTAAAGCTGTGTTTTAATTCATCTGCATTTAAAGGTGAAGATTGTAGCAGTTTGAGAATAATGTGCCATATTATATATCTTTTAGTTTGCCATTACTGAGGAAAATAACTTAGGATGTGTAACATGACTAGTACTTTTCAACAGTTTTAAAAATGCCAAAATAGCTTTTATTGTTCTTAGAAAGCTAGTAAAGTTAGCAATTTAAACAGGTACCTTCTGCAAGGATGTACATTGTGTACTTAGTTGTGAATATTGACATTCATTATATAAAATAAGTAGCATGTATGTAATGGGTTCCATGATTTCATGAAAGTTAGAGTGACCAAAAAATAAAACCTTATCTCTGCTTTGCTATAAGTGCTCTATAAAGTCAGAATTTAACAAGGTATTTTATTCAGTTTCAAAATCATGAGCATTTCATCAGGTGGTTTGATTGGTACTCACAAGTATGCTCTGAGTTACCATTTTCTGTGGTCATGTGTTTTATATCTTAACTCTTTATTGTAGGTAGTGCATTCATTACTACTGTAGATTAGTAAGTAAAAGCAGTATTTGAAGGCATGTGCTCATTCAGGTAAATGGATTAAGCAACATATAGTGAAGAGTAGAGGTTTTTTCTGTGGCTCTGGAAATAAAATTTATTGCTCATCATGATTTGCTCATTTAATAGATACACAGATGCGACCAGCAAGTATGAATCTGTCATGAAGACAGAGCCTAGTGTTTCTGAATATACAATTCGTTCAAAAGAAAGGATTTGCCACTGCTTTTCTAAGGTAACAGTTGACCCATTCCCAGAAATGCAGAAACTTAACATATGGAGTAGAAACCATAAATCATTTTCTCACATTTACTTTTAGGATGAGAAGCCTGTTGAAGCTATTCGAGTGTGTTCCGAGGTTTTACAGATGGAACCTGACAATGTGAATGCTCTGAAAGACCGAGCAGAGGCCTATTTAATAGAGGAAATGTATGATGAAGGTAAATCTATAAGGAATTGGATTTTCAGAATCTAAAAATTGATACGTAAGAAAATTAGCATATGTTTAACATCCTATGTTTAGAACAAGTTTACTAGAGTACCAGGAAATGTTGACCATTTTAGAAAAATGGCAGAGAGCTTCAAAATTATTCTTTCTTAGTAAAACTTGAAAGGTATATCATATAAGGAAAAAGTTCTGCTGTTGAAACCAGTTCAGTGGAGTCTAAAAAAAATTTAGCCTTTCTTTTAGACAAGTTAGAAAAGATAAATAACAAAATAGAAAATTTGAATTATAGGTTTTATATCATCCAGAGGTAATCACTGTTCATTTTGAAATTATCTCTTTCAGACTCTTTCCTATACATAGTCTATATTCTATACATGTTAGAATATACATATTCTATGCATATATAGTATACATATTATACATGCAGCATACATTTTTATGTCATATGGTCCTAAGTAGACAATGATCTTCTGTGACCCCTACGCTATTTAATAACATTAGGATAGCTGCTTACCCAGCTTTGTTCAGTTTGAAGTAACAGAGTTTTCTCTGTTGTAAGGACCTTGAATAAAGGCAGTGGCCTATTTTTGGAAGATAACTAAGGCATATATACTAATATACATTTCTTGAAAACTAGACTTTTTTTATGTGACAGTATGCTATGAACATTTAAATGAGATGGTTTTTAAAGGAAGTAAGCCTTTTTGCCCTTACTGCAAAGTTTTCATTTCAAATCAGGTAAATCATTTTAAATTGAAAACAGAGTATTTTTCTGGTGAAATTTAGTTTGTGGTACTCTATTTATTTAATAAAAGAGTATGGCTATTAAAATAATACATACTAATTTTAATGTAATGCAAAAGTAGTCATAAGTGGTAATCGTGGATAAAATTTTAAGTGCAATAAGAATGCATCACAACTACGATAAAACCTATCCTAAGAAGGAGATAACTACACTTCGAATTAAGAAAGGTTTATGGTACTCTCTTTTTAAGGCAAAGTAATCATTCAGTGTTTCTGCTTTCTACAATTTGGAAAGAATTTTGCTCCTAAGTGGTTTCCTGGGAGTGATGACAACTCTGTTACTGCTATTTGTGGGACATATTTATGGTATAGTTTTGAATTCTGATTGAAGCGTGAAATGTATGCCGTCAGTATGATGTTTTTTTTTAAAATATATTTTATTGATTTTTTACAGAGAGGAAGGGAGAGGGATAGAGAGTTAGAAACATCGATATGAGAGAAACATCGATCAGTTGCCTCCTGCACACTCCCCACTGGGGATGTGCCCGCAACCAAGGTACATGCCCTTGACCGGAATCGAACCTGGGACCCTTGAGTCCGCAGGCTGATGCTCTATCCACTGAGCCAAACCGGTTAGGGCTGGAATGTACTTTATTATTCATGACACTTTTTAAAGACCTTAGGGAAGACTTTATTTAAATGGGGGTGGGTGGGTGTATCACGATAGGTACAAGGACCTACATATGTTCTCATTTTCCCCAATTGAGATTGGGCTCAACTCTGACTCCAGCAAGGACAAGTGGGGAATTACAACCAAGCAGCAGGGTATGGTGAGTGGATGGAAAATATACTAAGAGGAAACATCAGGGAAAAGGGACATTCTTGCTAGATGGACTCAATTCTTGCTGAAGGCAGGGCAGGGAATGAGAATTCGATCAGACATTAAGTTCGAATTTGGTCCAGTACCAAAGGTGGGGAATATTAGCCAAAAGGACCTAACAGGATTCTTGCTCAAACTGGATTTTACAAGGTCAGAGAAAGAAGCCCAGGGTTGAGCCTTAGTCAGAAAGAGAACTCAGAGGAACTTGATTAAAGTTTGGATCAAAGGAGAGAGTCTTGGTCAAACCCCAAATCCTGTAAGATATAGAATGTTCCTTCCTTCTTGTCCTGTACCAATCAGTCCCCATCCCACTGCCCACAAGCAGCCATTGTTCTGATTTTCTCTATCATAGATTAGTTTGGCCACCTCTAGATCTTCATATCAATAGAACCATATACCCTTGAACAACACAGTTATGAACTGTGTGGGTCAACTTATATGTGGATTTTTTTCAATACTGTAAATGTTATTTTCTCTTACATTTTCTTTAGCTTACTTTATTGTAAGAATACAGTAAATAGTATATAACATACAAAATATATGTCAATCGACTTTATATTATTGGTTAGGCTTCAGTCAATGATAGGCTATTAGTAGTAAAGTTTTTAGAGAGTCAAAAGTTATATGTGGATTTTTGACTGCACCGGGGTCAGAGCTCCTAACCCTTGTGTTGTTCAAGGGTCAACTGTAGTATGTCTTCTTTTGTATAAGGCTTCTTTTATTCAAACATGTTTTTGAGATTTATTCATGTACTGGCAGCCGTCAGCCTGGCTTGTGGCTGAGCAGAGCTTTCCCTGTGGGAGCGCACTGACCACCAGAGGGCAGCTCCTGCATTGAACATCTGGCCCCTGGTGGTCAGGCCAGCCTGGGTGAGGGCTGATGGCTCTTGGCAGGTTGGCCACAGCCCCTTCAGGGTAGGGGTCCCAGCTGGGGTGCCTGGCCAGCCTGGGTGAGGGCTGATGGCTCTTGGCAGGTTGGCCACAGCCCCTTCAGGGTAGGGGTTCCCACTGGGGTGCCTGGCCAGCCTGGGTGAGTGGCTAATGGCTGTTTGCAGGCTGGCCATAGCCCCTTCAGGGTGGGGGGTCCCCGCTGGGGTGCCTGGCCAGCCTGGGTGAGGGCTGATGGCTCTTGGCAGGTTGGCCACAGCCCCTTCAGGGTAGGGGTCCCAGCTGGGGTGCCTGGCCAGCCTGGGTGAGGGGCTGATGGCTGTTTGCAGGCTGGCCACAGCCCCCAGCCACCCAAGCTCCCAGTGGAGGCTGGCTAGAAGCAGGTATCTGGGATTTATTTATCTTCTATAATTGAAACTTTGTTGCTTTGATCGGAGGCCACAGCCGACCAGGGCAGGCAGGAAGCTTGGCTTCCTCCATCACCAGGGCAACCAAGCCTCCTGCTTGCTCCAGCTCCGTGGCTGCCGGCCGCCATCTTGGTTGGGTTAATTTGCATATAGTTGCTCTGATTGGCTGGTGGGCGTGGCTTGTGAGTGTAGCGAAAGTATGATCAATTTGCAATTTTCTCTTTTATTAGATAAGATAAGCATTTAAGCCGAAACTGGTTTGGCTCAGTGAATAGAGCGTCGGCCTGCGGACTGAGAGGTCCCGGGTTCGATTCCAGTCAAGGGCATGTACCTGGGTTGTGAGCACATCCCCAGTAGGAGATGTGCAGGAGGCAGCTGATCGATGTTTCTCTCTCTCATCGATGTTTCTAACTCTCTATCTCTCTCCCTTCCTCTCTGTAAAAAATCAATAAAATATATATTAAAAAAAAAAAAGATAAGCATTTAAAGCTGTACTTCTCACATTGTTTTATTTTCATTATCATTTGGTTTGAAATGTATTCTAATTTTCCTTCTGACTTTTTCGTTAGATGTAGTTTAATTTTCAAATATAGGGTAGGGCAAATTAATTATTGTATTCAAAAGTGGTTACAACTGTAATCCTACTTTTGCCCCACCCTGTATTTGATGGTTTCCTAGGAACCTGATTATTTTTTAAAATATATTTTTATTGATTTCAGAGAGGAAGAGGGAGAGATAGAAGCATTAATGATGAGAGAAAATCATTGATTGGCTGCCTCCTTCACACCCCCTACTGGGGACCAAGCCCACAACCTGGGTATGTGCCCTGACTGGGAATCAAACTGTGACCTCCTGATTCATAGGTCAGTGCTCAACCACTGAGCACCATCAGCTGGGCCTGATTATTGGTTTCTAATTTAATTCCAGAGAACATACTCTGTGTGATTTCCTTTCTTTTAAATTTATTTAGATTTGTTTCCTTTAAAACTTACATATATATGTGTTGTAGTCCAGCATAATATCTTGCTGAATGTCCTATGTGCACTTGAAAATAATATGTATTCTGCAATTGTAAGGTGTAATGTTTTCTGTTAGTTTTCCCAGCAGTTGCTGAAAGTTGTTAAAATCTTTAATTACCTTTTGTGGAAATTGCAAACTTTCCTATCTTCCCTTTAAGTGTTCAGTTTTTGTTTATACATTTTGAAGCTCTGATATTAGCAACCCAAACATTTAAGACTTAAATTCCTGATGAACTTTTCTCCCACTCCCTCCCCTGAAGGGAGTATTGCAATACACTAAAAAAATTCTGAGGAAAAATAATTTTTAACCCAGACTTTGATGTATAACAAACTATTAATTAGGGTGGTTTTAAATAATTATTTGGAATTTTCTTTTTAAGTTGTGGTATCTCCAGGGAAAGCCTTCTGCTTAATTGGGAGATGGCTATTTTTATGACAATTGTTCTGTTTCAATTTTCTGTCTCTTTTGCATTGAGTTACTCTCTGGAGTTTTCAAATTTATTTGTACAGAATTTAGCAAAGTAGTCTCATTTTAATTTCTTCCATGATTATTTCTCACTTATTTGAGCTTTCTTTTCTTAATTAGAGCTATATACAGATATTTCTGAATAAATAAGCTTTTGACTTTTCAGTCCTATTTTTGTTTCATTAGTTCTGTTTTTTTGTCCTATAATTCACCTTTGTTTTCTAACTTTGAATCATGATTACTTAGTTCATTTTTTTCTTGTAATTCTTATTGAACCACTAAGGTTATAAATTATCCTGTTAAAACCTCGTGAGATGTCTTATGGTTCTGAACAGTAGTGTTTTCATCATTATTACTTTTTAGATATTTTTCAGGTTTTATTTTTATATTTTTCCTTTAAGAGTTGGTGAGTTAAAAAATTTTTAGGCGTGAAACTCCTTTTATTTTTTTACATTAATTTCTAGTGTTATAACGTTGTGATGGGAGAATACTTTTAGTACTCCTGTCTTTTGTAATTTATTACTGGTTTCTTTGTTTTTAATCTAAAATGGCTGATTTCATGAGTTATAGAGATTTGGAAAGAGGTGAA